GAGTGGGGGGTGTTTCGGGGCGGGCAAAGAGGGGGGGGGGGGGGAGCACATCGTCCCTCCTCTACTAAGGGAAGGGGGGTGGGGGTGAGTTCCGAAAGGTTACTAGCGTGGGAATCATAATAACATGCTAATAAGGGAGGGGGGGATTTGGAAACCAGCCATTTCGCCTGGCGGGGCGTGTGTGTGTGTGTGTGTGTGTGTGTGCATGCGCCTGCCTCACTGCAGCAGGGTGACTTCTTTGCGCTTGCTTTAATTGCAGCTTTGCCGCTCGAAGGGCTGTCTTCTTCACAAACCCCAAGCCCAGAGGCGACAGCACTTTTGGGATCAGATCTGGGTGGCGGGGAGGAGTGGGGGAAAGAAAGGGGATGAGTTGGCAGAAGCATCAGCCGACCTGCATCTAGGCCAGGGAGTTTTGGTGAGATGCCTCCGGATGGTTCACTAGCAGGACATTCAGGTGAGGGAGGAGACGATTCAGAGGTATACTGCCTCTTTGCATGGAGGTTCTGCTAGCGGACGATGGGTAATAGCCCTTGAGGGCCCACCTGCTGCAAAAAGTGATTGGTGTCCTTCCAGAGCTTGACCCCTTTTGGCTTTAGGGCATCCAAGAACGTCCTGTTGTAAAAGGCCCAGTCGCACCTTTAAGACTAACAAACTTTATTGTAGCATAAGCTTTCGAGAAACACAGCTGACGAAGAGAGTTGTGTTTCTCGAAAGCTTATGCTACAATAAAGTTTGTTAGTCTTAAAGGTGCGATTGGGCTTTTTACCATTTTGCAGCAACGGACTAACACGGCTGATTCCTCTGGACCGATAAACATCCTGTAGAAGTTCCAAGGCTAGAAGCAGCCCAGTTCTCCACTCCCCTCCTCTTTGCAGTTAGCGTCAAAGTGTGCGCGTTCAGCCTAAGACATGCTTCTACATTGATTGTTGCTGGCCCAAGCTCTGCCCATTAAGAACAGATTCAAGGGGTCTTGGGAACGGGGGTTTCAGAATGGAGCCCCATGTCCCTGCCCAAAGTCGAAGGAGGGAGACTCATGCCTCCTTGAGGGAGACCGATTTCGCACCAGATGACGGGTTTTGGGCTAATCGTGTCAAGGGTGCTGAGCAGGGAGAGTGTAAACCTACAAAAGCACACCTGAACTCTTATCTGGTTGGTGCAGATTTTGGGTTAGGAGGGAAAGCTTTTTAACAAAAATGTTCCTCGATAATGGGAGGAACCATGGCTTGGTGACAGAGCATCTGCTTTGCATGTTCATCTGCTTTGCATGTTCAAACCTTGGCATCTCCAGCTGGAATTACCGGAAGGTCTGTAGTTCAGCAGTTCGAGACCCTAGCACCGCGTGATGGAGTGAGCTCCCATCTCTGGCCCCAGCTCCTGCCAACCTAGCAGTTCAAAAGCAAGAAATTGCAAGTAGGTAAATAGGTACCGCTTTGGTGGGTCCCCTGCGCCTCAGTGTTTAGTCATGCCAGCCACATGACCCCGGAAATGTCTTCGGACAGCGCTGGCTCTTCGGCTTGGAAACGGAGATGACCACTGCCCCCTTGAGTTGGATTCGAGTAGTTTTTGGGCAAGGGAAACCTTTACCTTTAGTTAATGTGAGGCCCCAGAGAGCCCTTGCCAGTCTCAGTACTGACCCTAATGGACCCATGGTCTGATTCAGAATAAGGCCCCTTCATGTGTGACCCTACCCACTGAGTTTGATAACAGGGAGCAGATGAGTCAGGAAGAGGCGTGCATGGGTGTGAATTTTCGGTACAGATTTTCCTGACTGTCTCTGATGACAACTTCTGTGCTGATGTCAAGCCCCTGACGTTGATGGCTAATTCATCTGATATCCCGAGTGGGTTTTAAAATCCAGGGAGACGCCAGGCTGCCGCTTCCGCCCCTGCCAACTTGGCGTTGTGATCGAGCCAGCAGATGTGTGCCTTTGTCCACTTGCAAAGGCTCCAGAACACAGAGCTAGGTGCTTTGCGGGTTCAGGGTGTCGCACAGGGAGGGTTGGGGGGGAAAGGAGTGTCTTGTACGTTCTTTGCGTGGGCGAGACTCTCCCAGATGGCCGTAAAGTCTGGGCACGGGGTAGCTGCTCCTCCTTCGTCATATTAATCACTTGTCATTCACTTTTTAATGTGCAGATCTCTTATTTTGGCTCCGAGCCACTGCTGTTGTGAAGTCTGGGAGGAAGGTCACTTTTAGAGATTTTTTGGGGGGGGAATAAAGGGTCCTTGATGATTCAGTTGGTGGGGTGGGTGGAATGTCAGGGTCTGGCATGCCCAGGTTCGAATCCCTGATCTTCCGTGGAATCTCAAGGGGTGACCTTCGGCCAGTCACTCTCTCGCTCTCTCAGGCGGGTCTGCTTCACAGGGTTGGTGTGTGGATAAAATGGAAGAAGGGAGAAGAATGTTGTAAGCCACTTTGGATCCCCAGTGGTGGGGGTGGGGAAACAGGGTCTGTACTAAACGGATAGCTTTAGGGTGCTGAATGTGTGAACGTGCCTGTAGAGGAAGAAGAACAAACCTCCCTTCCCATAAGAAACTGGCACACCAGGGGAAAGGGCTCAGTCTTCTCCCCAACATAGATTTGTGTTAGATCCAGGTGGTCAGCCATGGTGGTTTGAAGCAGTAGGACAAACTTAGGGTCCAGTGGCACCTTTCGGACCAACAAAACAGAACGTAGTTAGTCTCAGAGGTGCCACTCTGGGCTCTAAGTTTGTTCTCCATATTTGTGTTTTGCGTGTGAGTGTAAGGAGGCTTCAAAAGGGAATTAGATAAGCATATGGAGCAGAGGTCCATCAGGGGCTATTAGCCACAGGGTACAGATAGGAACTCTCGGTCTGGGGCAAGGGATGCTCTGTCTTCTTGGTGCTTGGAGGGGGGGGGCGATAGTGGGAGGGCTCCTAGTGTCCTGGCCCCACTGCTGGACCTCCTGATGGCACCTGTTATTTCTGCCCACTGTGTGACAGAGTGTTGGACTGGATGGGCCTTTGGCCTGATCCAACATTGGCGTCTCTTATGTTCTTATGAGGCATTCCGAAATCCAGCCCTTCCACTGGAAGCGAAGCGTTTCAGTCTGGAAACAGCTTGAGCACTTGAATATACTGAATGTGGGAACTGGCCCAGACATGAGGAGGGGGAGAGAGAGGCCGGCTAACCCAGAGAGCCACAGTTTTTCCTCTTTGCTCGAGTATCCTTGATCGGAGCCTTTTCAAATGTCGCCCCCCTGTCCCAAATAATCCCTATAAAAGTATTGTCCAAGTTCCTCTGTGCAGTAGGGTTTTTTCTTTTTCTCTTTTTTTGGTTACTCCTTAGGACTTGTTCACACATCACTGAGCCCTCAATGACTAAGAGCATAAGAGAAGCCAATGTTGGATCAGGCCAATGGCCCACCTAGTCCAACACTCCATCACACAGCGGCCAAAAATACCAGGTGCCATCAGGAGGTCCAGCAGTGGGGCCAGGACACTAGGAGCCCTCCCACTGTTGCCCCCCCAAGCACCAAGAATACAGAGCATCCCTTGCCCCAGACCGAGAGTTCCTATCTATACCTTGTGGCTAATAGCCACTGAGGGACCTCTGCTCCATATGTTTATCCAGTTCCCTCTTGAAGCCGTCCATGCTTGAAGCCGTCACCACCTCCTGTGGCAGTGAATTCCATGGATTAATCACTCTTTGGGTGAAGAAGTACTTCCTTTTATCCGTTCTAACCTGACCGCTCAGCAATTTCATGGAGTGCCCACAAGTTCTTGTATTGTGAGAAAGGGAAAGAAGGACTCCTTTCTTGACCTGCTCTATCGCATGCATAATCTTATAAACTTCGATCATGTCACCCCTCAGCCGTCATTTCTCCAAGCTAAAGAGCCCCAAGCGCTTTAACCTTTCTTCACATGAAAGGTGTTCTAACCATTTTATCATTCTAGTTGCCCTTTTCTGCACTTTCCCCAATGCTATAATATTCTTTTTGAGGTGTGGTGACCAGAACTGTACACAGTACTCCAAATGAGGTCGCACGATTGATTTATACAGGGGCATGATGCTAATGGCTGATTTGTTTTCAATTCCCTCTCTCGGCTGAACGTTTGAGCTGTCTTCTCTGGGAATGTGTTGAGTGTGGCATTGACTCAGGATGGGACGAAAGCGTAGCGACTAATCTGAGATGGCTCATTTCATGCGTGCGCAGAGTTGCTTCTTCCTACTGTCAGTGAGTGACAGAAAGTGTTCGGAACTGGCCCCGCGGTGCTGAAAGTGTATACTTAAAAA